AGGCAACGGGCCCAAATCGGTCAGGAGGGTAGCCGAACGCCCCCCCGAGGGCCCCAAGAGGCCCCAGACACCCACCAGACGCCCGAAGACGACCAAAAGAAGACCCCCAAGAGGCTCCAAAACGCAGAAGAACATAGATCTCCCATTGGTGTTTGCATGATTTTGGGAATGCCCTGTTCTTCTGTCTTCTGGGCGTCCGAGACCGCCTGGGAGGCTCGAAAATCACCCCAAAACGATCCGAAAGGGCTTCCAGGCAGTCCAAGATAGCCCCAAGACGGCACAACATGGTTCCAAGATGGCCTAAGAGAGCCCAACGACGGCCCAAGATGGCCCCAAGACGGCCTCCGAAACATTCCAGATCGTGACCCGGTCGTTCAGGGAGACCGCGGTTGGAGGCAGGGTGGCCCGAGGAAGCCCCCAGAGGCCCCAGAAGACGCCCAAGAGGCCTCCAGAAGGCCTTAAGAAAGCCTGAAAAACTTCCGTGAGGCCCCCAGAGGCTCTCCAAGGAGGAGTCTCCGCAAAAAGAGCTCAGGAGGATGGGGAAGGTTTCGCAGGGTAGGGCGAGAATGAAAAAAAAAACATGGAAACAGGATAACGAATCACATAATTATAACGGCGATGCCAGAAAAGGCAACCAGAAGTTATCGCTCTGTTTGACCCTCTTGCCATTCCGTCTGCATGCCAGACTTCAAGAAACAAGATGCATGGTGCGAAGCGCCAATGCAGTCTTGTGCATGTGTATATATGAACACACACGCCCTCGCCAGGACTAACCTGCGCATGCCCGCAACGCGCGGTGTGCGGGCAGCGGGTCGACACATCGACGTACAACAGGTGAGCAAAGCCCGGGAACGGTGCGACGAGGTCTACCACGGCATACTGCATCGCCCTCTCGGCGGTCCGCGGATGAGCTCAGGAACAGCACGTCGGATGCCGAGACCACGGCACGGCACTCGCGCAGGAGCCGCGCCAGGTGGAAGGCGAGCACGCGGAGCGGCCACACGCGCGCCATGCCTGCACGGCCGAGGCTGCTTTCTCTGTGGGGCCCACCCGCTGGCCGCGCAGCGCGTGGGGTCTTCCGCCCCTGCGAAACGAGGCGGCGCCATGCCCCCCAGGCGCCATGGGGCGCGCAGAGAGCCCCTGGCCTGCGCATGGTGGTCGCGAGGCCGTAGCTGAACTGACTACCTACCAGACCACCCCAACCCAACCCGAAGACCCGAATTCCGCCCGAACTTCGGGTTGGGGGGGTTTTACGGGCTCAATCTGTGCTTTTTCCATTTTCCCCGCCCCCCCCCCCCCCCTGGAAATGGAGGCCAAATCGGGGCGATTCGGGTTGGGCTGAGGTGGTTTGGTGAGCGGTGATGAACGGGAACCACTCCGCGGGCTTCGCGGGGACATGCGGGCCGAGGGCTCCCGCGCCAGGGCCTCCGTGGAGGACAGCTTGAGCGTGCCCTGCGCTCCCGGCTGGCCCACGTCTCCTGCCAAAGCCAGGGCGGCGGGCACGGCCACGCCCGCCGAGCGTCTGCAAACACGGCGGGCGAGACGCGGGGGCACCCTGAGAGGCGCGCTCGCCGGCAGCGGCGGCGGCATCGCTGCCTCCGGGAGCAGGTTGACGGCGCCAGGGCCGTCGGCGGCCGCGTCCTGCGACCCTGGGCCGCCCTGGATTCGACCCTCTCCTCCTCCTCCTCCCCTCCCCCCCCCCTCCCCCTCCTCCTCCCTCCTCCTCCTCCCCCTCCCTCCCCCTCCCCCTCCCCCCCTTCTCCTCCTCCCTCCTCCTCCTCCTCCTCCTCCTCCTCCTCCTCCTCCTCCTCCTCCTCCTCCTCCTCCTCCTCCTCCTCCTCCTCCTCCTCCCGCCCTGGGTGTCCACGACGGCGCCGCAGCCTCGAGGCGCTGGGCTGCGCGAGCGTCCCGCCCTGCCAGAGCGTCGCGGGCAGCGCGCACGCGCCCGAGGGTGCGCCTCCCCAGCAGACGGCGCAGCGGTTCGTGTCGTGGCGCCGTCGGCGATGGTCTCCTAGGGGCTTACGTGCGAAACCTACCCCTACCCCCCACGATTTCTGGGGGGGAGGGTGGGGTTCACTCCGCTCGGGAGCTCCCGAGCGGAGGGAGCCCCACCCTCCCCCCCAGAAATCGTGGGGGGTAGGGGTAGGTTTCGCACGTAAGCCCCCTATCTCTGACGCCGCGTGGATCGTTCGGCCCTGCACGCTCGGCGGCTTCTCGGCCGCCCAAGTCTTTCCGTGTTTGCCGACCCTGGGCCGCCTGCGGCGTTCGACCTCGAGCGCCCGCGGCGGGGCCGCCGCCGCGCCGACACGGCGCAAAGCTGCCGCCTCGGACCGCTGTGGTGAGGGGGCCCTGGGGCACGCAAAGAAGTAAACACAAATCCCAGGATTCCCCCTATTTTCACATACGTTCTGGCTTTTCGTCTTCCTCTCCATTGCCTACAGTTTCCTACGTTTTGGAATTGACGATGAATGGTTTCTGTCTGATTTTCCCTTCCTGGAAAGCGCCCAGCACCGCAGAGGGTGCAAGCCGCGCGCCGTCAGAGAGAGCACGAGCAACAGCGTTGGACAGAAGCGACCAACCAAACAGCGTGGACGGCGGCGACACTGGTACGCCCCAGATGGGCAGTTGGTCAAGGACAAAGCAAGGCTACAATGCCTAACAACACATGCCGTCCAAACCCAACGACGGCCGCTGTCGGGCGGGGAAGTGTGCCTCAAATTGAACACATCCGCGACGACGCCGACAGCGAGTCCTGTCCAGAACGGACACGGACTGCTGATAGTCTTCGTCCCAATCTTCTCCGCTTCTCCGCATCCATGTTGATCCTACCGGATCCAGTGCGCTGCGCAACTGCGGAAATCACCCTCATCGTCTCATCTCTCCTGCTCGGCAACATGCGCCTGAGAGGGAGCAGCCGGCTTGCCATGGCGTCGAATGTCGAATCATGTTGCGTCACACTGTCTGCAACGGTTCTGGTATATACATACTGACACACATGTATTTAACTATACGTATATGTGTAGTGGCACGATCGTTCTAATCGCTTGGCCTATGGTGCCACCTGTGCCTCATAGTGCCCTGCATATCTTCATTGTCGGCGAGCTTGTTGAGCTAGTCTTGCGTCCCTTAAGGTGCCGTCTAAGCGCCTCTGTATAAACGAATTCCATGCGCCGTTGCTTGTTCGGCGCACAACAAGCGCTTCAGAGGCGCCTAGGCGACACATCAGCGCCGTATATGCGCCTTATAAACGCCGTATGGGCGCCTCATATGCGCCGTGTAGGCGCCTCATATGCGCCGTACACGCGCCGTGACAGCACCTTACAATCGCCTTATAGGTACCTTCTAGCAAGCGGCCCCTGATCATTGTCATTGAGCACCGCTGTGAGCGCCGCCGCGCTCCGTGCCGATGCGGCTGCCAACGGAAGCGGGTCGCGGGGTGAAAGGGAATGTCAACGGGGACTACGCACATTGGGTACTTGGGACGGAAACATGCATTGCAGCACTGTTAATGCATCGTGAGCTTACTATGGTCCTTGTCCTTCTCCTCCTCCTCCTCCTCCTTGTCTCCTCCTCCTCCTTGTCTTCTCCTCCCCCTTGTCCCCCTCCATCTCTTCCTCCTCCACTTCCCTCCTCCTCCTCCTCTTCCTCCTCCTCCTAATCAATCCGACTCATCATCCTACATTCTCCGTTGTTTTCCCAGCTCCCACTCTCCCTCCCTCTCCCTCCCTCCATCCATTATGACATCCCATCCTGCTTCCTTTCCTCACTCCCTCCCTGCCTCCCTTTCTCTCTCCCTCCCACTCTCTCTTGTTTCTTGTGCTTATGTGTTTATCTCTCTCTCTCTCTCCCTCTCTCTCTCTCGCCCTCTCTCTCCCTCTCTCTCTCTCGTTCTCTCTGTCTCTCCTCCTCCTCCTCCTCCTTTTCTTCCTGCCCCACCAGACCTGCGCGCCACTCAGTGGACCTCGCTCTCCGCTCCCAACAACGCGCCCGCCGCACGCCGCGCCCTGGGGCCTACGCCGCTTGTCGAGACAAACGCGCGCGCGCTCCATGGAAAAACGAGCGGACGGAACAGTGGGCGAGGAAGGGGGGGGGCGGGGGGGCGCGGGGGAACGAGGAGAGAGGGGGATAGGGGGGAGGGGGGTGAAAGGAGGGAGGCGGAAGCAGAGAGAGGGGGGGGGGAAGCGTTTTTTTGCTGTGGACTGCTGCAGTGGGGGGCGGAAGGGGCGGGTGAGGTGGAGGGAGGTTAGATGAGGATCAGTCGTATCAGAACACATGTCTGCAATCGCGCCACATTTGACATCCTATCTACCCCTTCCCGCCCATCCCTTGTCACTGTATTCCCATCTCTATGTATATATATATATATACATATATATATATATATATATATCAGAGTGAGGGGGCCGAACGGTCATTCATTGTCCCTGGGTGCGTGGCTGAAGTGAGATTCCGCGGTGCGGATTCGTGTTGTTGTTGTTGTTGTTGTTGTTGTTGTTGTTGTTGTTTGTTGTCGTCGTCCCACCCGCAACCCGCCCCGCGACCCACCCGCGACCCACCCCGCGACCCACCCGCGACCCACCCGCGACCCACCCGCGACCCACCCGCGACCCACCCGCGACCCACCCGCGACCCACCCCGCGACCCACCCCGCGACCCACCCCGCGACCCACCCCGCGACCCACCCCGCGACCCACCCCGCGGCCCACCCCGCGACCCACCCGCGACCCACCCGCGACCCACCCCGCGACCCACCCGCGACCCACCCGCGACCCTCACCCCGCGACCCACCCGCGACCCACCTTCGACCCAAACCACGTTCAAGGTACAAACCAACATTTTCGGCGCCTGCGGCGGGCTTTTTTTGCATTCCTTCCAGGTGGAGAGCCCGCGACCCACCCCGCGATCAACTCGCGACCAACCCGCGACCCAAACCACGTTCAGGGTACAAACCACATTTTTCGGCGCCTGCGGCGGGCATCTTTTGAATCGTTCTAGGTGGAGAGACCGCGGCCCACCCGCGACCACGTTCAGGGTACAAACCAATTTTGTTCGGCGCCTGCGGCGAGCATCTTTTGCATTCGTTCCCGGTGGAGAACCCGCGGCCCACCCGCGACCCAAACCACGTTCAGTGTACAAACCAATTTTTTCGGCGCCTGCGGCGGGCTGCTTTTGCAGGAGGACGAGGAGGGGGAGGAGGAGGAGGAGGAGGAGGAGGAGGAGGAGCAGCAGGAGGAGGAGCAGCAGGAGGAGGAGGCAGGAGGAGGAGGGGAGGGGACGACGACGATGACGTCGACGACGACGACGACGAAAAGGAGGAGGGTGGAGGATCGGGAGGGGGGGAAGAGGAGGAGGACGACGAGGAGGAACATGACGACAATGGGAGGACGATGATGGAAGGACGAGGGGGGGAGAGGGAGGACGAGGAAGAAGCGGAGGAGGAGGAGGAGGAGGACGAGGTGGAGGAGGAGGACGACGATGACGATGAGAACGAGGACGAGGACGAGGAAGAGGAGGAGGAGTAGGAGGCGGAGGAGGAGGAGGAGAGGAGGAGGAGGGAGGAGGAGGAGGAGGAGGAGGAGGAGGAGAGCGCCATCGACAAGGAAGGTGGGGGCCACGAGGTCCGCCGGCTTGACGACGCCCGCGTCGCCCGCGCCCGCCCCCTCACTCTTATCCGCAATTGCGGGGTGCTATATATAGATCAGAGTGAGGGGGCCGAACGGTCATTCATTGTCCCTGGGTGCGTGGCTGAAGTGAGATTCCGCGGTGCGGATTCGTGTTGTTGTTGTTGTTGTTTGTTGTTGTTGTTGTTTGTTGTCGTCGTCCCACCCGCAACCCGCCCCGCGACCCACCCGCGACCCACCCCGCGACCCACCCGCGACCCACCCGCGACCCACCCGCGACCCACCCGCGACCCACCCCGCGACCCACCCCGCGACCCACCCTGCGACCCACCCGCGACCCACCCGCGACCCACCCGCGACCCACCCCGCGACCCACCCCGCGGCCCACCCCGCGACCCACCCGCGACCCACCCGCGACCCACCCCGCGACCCGCCCGCGGCCCACCCCGCGACCCACCCGCGACCCGCCCGCGACCCACCCGCGACCCACCCGCGACCCACCCGCGACTCACCCCGCGACCCACCCGCGACCCACCTTCGACCCAAACCACGTTCAAGGTACAAACCAACATTTTCGGCGCCTGCGGCGGGCTTTTTTTGCATTCCTTCCAGGTGGAGAGCCCGCGACCCACCCCGCGATCAACTCGCGACCAACCCGCGACCCAAACCACGTTCAGGGTACAAACCACATTTTTCGGCGCCTGCGGCGGGCATCTTTTGAATCGTTCTAGGTGGAGAGACCGCGGCCCACCCGCGACCACGTTCAGGGTACAAACCAATTTTGTTCGGCGCCTGCGGCGAGCATCTTTTGCATTCGTTCCCGGTGGAGAACCCGCGGCCCACCCGCGACCCAAACCACGTTCAGTGTACAAACCAATTTTTTCGGCGCCTGCGGCGGGCTGCTTTTGCAGGAGGACGAGGAGGGGGAGGAGGAGGAGGAGGAGGAGGAGGAGGAGGAGGAGCAGCAGGAGGAGGAGGAGGAGGAGCAGCAGGAGGAGGAGGAGGAGGAGGAGGAGGGGACGACGACGATGACGTCGACGACGACGACGACGAAAAGGAGGAGGGTGGAGGATCGGGAGGGGGGGAAGAGGAGGAGGACGACGAGGAGGAACATGACGACAATGGGAGGACGATGATGGAAGGACGAGGGGGGGAGAGGGAGGACGAGGAAGAAGCGGAGGAGGAGGAGGAGGAGGAGAGGGAGGAGGAGGACGGTGGAGGAGGAGGACGACGATGACGATGAGAACGAGGACGAGGACGAGGAAGAGGAGGAGGAGTAGGAGGCGGAGGAGGAGGAGGAGGAGGAGAGGAGGAGGAGGAGGAGGAGGAGGAGGGAGGAGGAGGAGGAGGAGGAGAGCGCCATCGACAAGGAAGGTGGGGGCCACGAGGTCCGCCGGCTTGACGACGCCCGCGTCGCCCGCGCCCGCCCCCTCACTCTTATCCGCAATTGCGGGGTGCTATATATATAAATATTACCCGGGACCCCCCCACCAGAAACCGGACCCTCCGAATCCCGGGCCCCCGTGACCCTCTGGACCCTCCGGATCCGTGGCCCCAAGGAACCCCTGGACGCCCCTGCAGGAGGGAGGTCCCCCGTGCGTTTCAGAGCCCCTGGAAACCCTTGCTGGGCAGGCAACGGGCCCAAATCGGTCAGGAGGGCAGCCGAACGCCCCCCCGAGGGCCCCAAGTGGCCCCAGACAGCCACCAGACGCCCGAAGACAACCCAAAGAAGATCCCCAAGAGGCTTCCAAAACGCAGAAGAACATGGATCTTCAATGTTGTTCGATGATTTTAGGAATACCCTGGTCTTCTGGGCGTCCGAGACCGCCTATAAGGCTCAAGAATCGCCCCAAATCCATCCGAAAGGGCTTCCAGGCAGTCCAAGAGAGCCCTCAGACAGGACAACAGGGTTCCAAGATGACCTAAAAGAGCCCCATGACGCCCAAGATGGCCCCAAAACACCCTCCGAAACATTCCAAATCGTGACCCGGTCGTTCAGGGAGACCGCGGTTGGAGGCAGGGTGGCCCAAAGAATCCCCCAGAGGATCCCAGAAGATGCCCAGAAGGCCTCCATCCAGAAAGCCTCAAGAAAGCCTGAAAAACTTCCTTGAAGCCCCCAGAGGTGAGGATGGGGAAGAATTCGCAGGGTAGGGCGAAAACGCGGAAAAAGAAACATGGAGGAAAGATAACGAATAACACTACTAGAATGGCGATGCCGGACAAGGCAACAAGGAGTTATCGCCAAATTGTCTGTTTGGCCTTCCTGCCATTCCGCCTGCATGCCAAACTCCAAGGACCAAGGTGCATGGCGCGAAGCGCCAATGCAGTCTTGTGTATCTATCGGGGATGGACAGACCTCCCTTTAGTAAAACGCGGATTAGTGAAAACGACCTGAGGCCCAAACCTGGCGGGCGCAAGCCTGGAAAATAACGGCCGCGGCGCCCTCTCGAGAGCCGAAAACGGACAATTCACTAATCGACGTGTCACTGTTGGGGGTTCTGTCCGCCCCCGAATCTATAATAAATATAAATAAATCGAACCAGTAGGTTGGAGATTCCCGAATGGCAGTTGCGAAAGTTGCCCCGCCGTCCCCTTCGGAAAAGCGGCCGGTGGAGCCGGATAGGGCCAGACATCGATGCATCGACGTCGGGCGGCGTCTGGGCGGAGAGGACACGCGCACCATCGAGCAGTGCCGCGAACGAAAGAGGCGGGAGGGAGAAGGGGGAGGAGGAGGAGATCGAGGAGGAGGAGGATGCGCAGCAGATGGCTGAGGAGGGGAGCAAAACGAGAGCGAGGATGAGGGAGGGCGTAGAGGAAGACGGCAAGGAGGGGCGATGAAGACTAGAAGGATAGGACAGGACAGGGCAGGACACTCCCGCGCATGGGCATCATATAGGGCGCTGCGGGTAGGAGAAACATGAGCATGGCAGAACGAAGAGATCGGGAGGGAGACGAGAGGGAGGATGAGGAGGACGTGGATCAAAAGCATGAGCATTGATATGACTGGGCGGAGGGTGAAGGGGAGGGGAGGGGAGGGAAGGTAGGCGAACGAAGAGGGGGAAACTGGGAAAGCAAGAGGACGAGTATGGGGAGGACGGGGAGGAAGGAGACGACGACGACGACGACGACGACAACGACGACGACGACGACGACGACGACGACGATGACGACGACGACGACGACGGAGGCGGCGGCGACGAGCCGTCTGAGGGCGCGAGGCCCCGGCAGCGGCGCCGCGGCCCAAGCCCCCAGCCGACGAGCAGGCGGAAGCGGCGGCGAGCCAGGGCGGCACAACCGGGGCTCAGCAGAGGGAAGCAACCACTGGACACAACTCAAACTTGGCGCGCGCGGGGGGAAGACTGCGGTCGAAGTGCAGCTCAGCCAACCCACCGTCAACATTGATCACTGGGGGGGGGGGGGATTGACGCATGGATGTGGCATGAGTGTTCGCCAACTTCATCCGAGGCCTCTCTGGCCCTCTCCGTGAGGGCCGGCTCCACCGTGGCCGGATGGCCAAGACCTCCTGCTCGACGTCGTCGCCGGAGCCGGGCCCATGGAGGGCGTGGCGGCCGCGTCGGCGGGGACACCCAGAGTGCCCAGGACGCCGGCGCGCCCGAGAGCACTCTGCATCTTCGCCGGCTCGGTGCCATTGGGATACCTGGCAGAGTCCAGGAGGGCCGCGTCCTGGTCCCCAGGGCCCCCGAGGGCGGCCGCCGCCAGGGCCGCCGGCTGCCGCGCGGCGCGATGCCGACGTCCGCGGCCGCCGCGGCCGCTGCGGCCGAGGAGATCGGCTCCGCTCGGCTGGGCGCCCACCACGCGCGCGTCGGCACGCTGTCGGCCGTGGCCACGCTCCGCCGCGCACTGCCTGCGCTGCGCGAGTAGGAAGGGCACAGTGGTTGCTGGGCACGCGCAGACCGCTCCAGCCTGCGCCAGACTGGCCACGCGAGCGGAGGCAGGGAGAGAGGGAGGGAGAGAGAGAGAGAGGGAGGGAGAGAGCTGGAGACAGACAGCGAGGGAGAGAGAGAGAGAGAGAGAAAGAGAGAGAGAGAGAGAGATGCGGGGGGGACGCGCGCACGCACAGAGCCCAGATATCGCAGAAGAGAAGGAGGGGGAGATGCGGAGGGAGAGGGGGCAGGGGGAGGAACGAGGGATGGCAGAGGGAGAAGAGGGGGCAAAGGAGGGGTGAAGTTGGACGCAGCTGCGAGGGGGGGCGGAGAGTGCGAGAGGTGGATGGGGCGAGGGAAGGCGAACCGACGAACGAGGGCACGAGGGGAAAGCAAAGGGCGGGGAAAGGGAACGAGGGAGGGGAAAGCAGGGAGGCGGGAGAAAGGAGAGGGAGGGAGAGGAAGGACGAAGCAGAAATGAGGGGAGAAAGAGAGAGAGAGAGGGAGAGAGAGAGAGAGAGAGAGGCGAGAGAGAGGGAAAGGGCGAGGAAGAGAGAGAGAGAGAGAGAGAGTCACAGAGACAGAGACAGAGAGAGGGCTATGGAAGAGAGAGATGATGCGAAGAAAGTGAAGCGAAGGGTGGTGATGGAAGGATAACCAGCGCAACCTAGCACTTTCTAAAACCTCTGCAGGCCCTTCACTAGCTCCTGCTCCATGGTTCCTCTCCTCCTCCTCCTCCTCCTCCTCCTCCTCCTCCTCCTCCTCCTCCTACCTTCCTTCCTTCCTTCCGACCCGCTTGACGACGCCGTCCCGCACAGCGCCGCGGCCAGCCAGGCCGCCCGGCGGCGCGGCCCCTGTCACACCGCGGAGGAGGAGGAGGAGGAGGAGGAGGAGGAGGAGGAGGATCAGGAGGAGGAGCAGGAGCGGGAGCAGGAGCAGGAGGAGGAGGAGGAGGAGGAGGAGGAGGAGGAGGAGGAGGAGGAGGGCCGCGCGGTTTCCCTCCCCACGGCCGGGGCGCAGGGACAAAGACGCCCGACGCCATGCGGGGGGCACCCGCCGCCCGTGCCCCCCGGGAGGTACCCCTCCAGGCGGCCCCCCTCTGCGCAACGGCGGGTGGAGCGTGCCGCGCGGGGGGGCAAACCCCCGGCGGCCCCGCCGGGAGCGGGCCGCGGCACGGGGGGCAGCTGGGCAGCGGAGCGGCAAGGTGCAGAGCGGCGCCGCGGAGGGGGCAGGCAGGGCGGGTGGCGGGCCCAGGGCAGGAGGGACAGCGGACGCACGGGGCAGCGGGGGAGGGCGGGGGCCAGGCCACGGACCACGCCATCTCAGGGCATCGTCAGCCCTGACAGCTGCGCTGGCTGCGGTTGTTGGCTGCGCAACTGCTCACCGAGCCTAGCCAGTACCTCGCGCAGAGCTTTGCTATTTCTTTGTGCGTCCCACTGGAAAAGAACCCGCGAGATCAGCTGGACCCCCGCGACGCTCTGGCCACCGGAGCTTTCTGACGCATTGGGTGAGAGACCCATGGGGCTCGCGAGACAGAAGCGGCACGGACGGCAGTGGTTCACTGAACTGCCTTATCGAGACGCGGCCAACACAGGGTCCCTGTCCGACGGGGGAGCTGTTGGCTACAGTGCACCAGACAAACGGGCGTGGTTCCTACCATAGCGGGTCGAGGACCGATTGACGACACGGCTACCAAAGACCTTCTCAAGAAGCGCAGGCTGCTGAACGCATCCCTACAACGGAGCAGCTCGCTCGGGCCAATGAGAAGTTTGACGCGCGGGCCCAGGCAGGGCCCGCACTCGGGTTTGGCGTGGGTGGGGGCTGCACCTGTCCGCTCCGGCATGGCCCACTGCGCCTGGAGCGCAGCTTCCAGTCGGCGCGCCTCCTGCGGCGTGAGGCCGCCTCCCGGCTGAGGCTGGCGGCGGAGCGCCTGCGCGGCGCCCCCCCACAGAAGCTCGGGAGGTGGGCCGCCGTCTCCTGCGACTGGCCACAGAAGCGGCACGGCCTGACGACGCCCGCCTTGTCGCAGGAGAAGGCGCCCTGCAGGCACAGGCGGGCCAAGGCGCGCACCTGGGGGAGCAAGGCGCCGGCGAGGCTGTGCTCCAGCGCCGTGCACCCCACGCCCGCCCCGCGCGTCAGCGCCTCCCGCTGCACTGGGCTCGCTAGCCACGCCTGCTCGTGCCGTTGCGCCGCAGCTCTCACGAGGTCGAAGTACTGGGCGCGGGCCCCTGGCCCCGCCTGCGGCCCTGGTGGGTCCGGGAGGCCCCACTGGTGCAGGAACTGGCGGACACGCCGCATCCAGGACCCTTTTCCGCCTGCTCCGCCAACACGAGGACGCGCTTGGCCTCGGCATGCCTGGGGTCCACCTGGATCCTGCTGCAGAAGCGTATGGCGCGCTCCTCCATTGTCGTGGCCCACCGCACGATCCACCCCATGTGGCGTAGGAGGAGGGCTCGCGGGATGGGACCACCCTCCTCCTCCTCCTCCTCCTCCTCCTCCTCCTCCTCCTCCTCCTCCTCCTCCTCCTCCTCCTCCACCTCCCCGAGAGGTCTCCACAGGGATCCGCGGAGGCCCCCTGAGACCACTGGAGGCAAAATCGATCTGCGCGGAGGTCCCCCCATACGTAAGTGCCTATAGTTTCCTGGCACTTCCCGCAATCAGCGTCTGTTCGGAAGAGTCTTCGCCTATGGCGACTGAACGCACCCTGGCGGCTCCCCCTCGGAGTGCCCAAATGCTAGGTCTACCGAATCGGGATCGCACTGAGGTTCTGAGAGGAGAAGAACTGGAGGAGCCAAAACCAGCGTCTCGCTTGACACATCTTTAAACAATCCCCGCGATCTGGCCGCGAGAAGACACATGTCCCTCTCCCTGGCGGCTACTCCTTGGGGCTCCCGGGTGCAGCGCCTGCTGCATCGCGGTGATCACGAAGCCCTCAAAGCAGAGCACCCGGCGACACCAGGCGAGCGCCTCGCTCGAGACTTCCCCTCAACATGCAGGCGAACGGGTCAGCGACCTCCTCCCCGGTAGCTATTCCTTGGGCTGCCCAAGAGCAACGCCTGCTGCATAGCGGAGACCACAGGGCTCTCAAAGCAGAGGAGCCAGCGACGCCAAACGAGCGCCTGGCACGAGGGGTCCCCGCAGCCGGGCCGCGGATGGGCAAGCGTCCCCCGCGGGGCGGCTCCTCCTTGGGGTGGCCAAATGCCGCGCCTGCGAGAAAAAGCTCTCGACAACAACAAAACAACAAACACGAAGACCACACTACAGCAGTACAGCAGAAAAACCTCCACCCTTCGCGGATCGTTTGGATAGCCTCCCGAGGCCAGGACTACCCCCCCCCCTGCGCCGACACAAAAAGCATGCCCAAAGGCGGTGGCCACCACTACCAGGCTCTCCAAAAGCAAAAGCTCGGGACGCCAAACGACCGCCTCGCTCGAGACATCCAGTGAGTCTGCGGGCGTGCGGGCCAGTGTCCCCCTCCCCGACGCCTCCTCCACGCTGTGCCGAAAGGCGCGAGCGAACGGGTAAGGGCCCCCCTCCCTGGCGGCTCCTCCTCGGGGTGCCCAGATGACACGAGTGCTGCACCGTGGTTATCACGAAGCGCTCCAAGCAGATGGGTCGGCGACACCAGACGAGCGCCTCGCTCGAGACGTCCCCACAATCTGGCCGCGGACGGGCCATTGTCCCCCTCCCGGGCGGTTCTTCCATGGGGACCCGAAACGAAGAAGAAGGGGGAGTCTCGGGTCCGAAACGGACGCCTGGCTCAAGACATCCCCACAATCTGGGGCCGCACCATGGCAAGTGCCCCCCTCCCTGGTGGCTCCTCCCAGGGGTGCCCAAAATGACGCGCTGGCCACATCGCAGTTGACAGGAAGCTCTTCGAGCAGAGGGGTCGCGGGTGCAAAGCAAGCGCCTCGCGCGAGACGCCCCTCCTTGGGGTGCTCCAGCGCCGCGCCTGCTGCGTCGCGATGATCGTGAGCGAGTCCGAGTAGGAGGAGCGGCGGTGGCCCGACAAACAGTGCCCACACCAATGGCGCGAATACCATAGTCCGTGATGCTGTGCAGCATACTGCATGACGTATGTTCCGCCCCCCTCCCCCCGAAACCCCAACGCTGAAGCGTCCACCTGCTGTCCTCCGCGCGTTGCCTCGCGTGCCCCCCCACGGTCAACTGTGGGTCCGAGGGGAGGGGCTGCGGATGCGTTGGAAGCACTTCGCTGTATCGTTGTTTTGGCGCGATGGGTGTGGACACTTGTTGTCCACCCACTGGGGTATGAGTGGGTCGGTGTATGAGTGCCAAAATGCGTGTCTGTCTGAGCGTGAGCGTAAACATACAAAAAAACAAAACAAATCTAGTGTCCCTGATCAGAGTGTGAGTGGTCCGTGTGTGTGAGTCTGAGTCTGAGTATGACTGAGCTGAGTGAGGGTGGATCTGACTATGAGTGGTGTGAGTATGCGTGGGCCTGAATACGAATGAGCTTGAGCATGAGTAGCTCAGAGTGTGTGCGTATGGTCTGAATATGGGTGGTCTGAGAAAGAGTGAGCCTGAGTGTGTGCGTGTGTGGCACGATTAGTGTGAGCGCGAGTGGGTCTGAGTGTGAGTGAGTCGGTGGGCAAATGAGTCTGCGTACGAGTGCTTCAATTTTTGTGAGCCTGAGTACGAGCATGATTGAGCCTGGGCAGATGTTTGGATGAGCCTGAGTTTGGATGGTCGAGAATATGCGCGACTGAGTGTGGGTAAGTCTGAATATGACTAATATGAGTACGGTTGGACCTGCGTCCGACTAAGCTGCTGAGTTGAGCATGAGTCTGCGAGGGAGGCGGGTAAGTGAGAAGGAGGCGGAGGCGTCACACTAAGAACAAGAAGCCCATCGTAGGACATGGGGAACAGTTCAGGAACGCCCAGGAGGTTCTACCCTCGCCTCAGGGTAAACGTCCGCGGTGCAAGAGATCTTCATACTCCTCCTTATCATCATTACCACCGCCATCACCATCACCATCATCATCAGCATCAGCATGAGCATCACCGTCATCATCAGCATCAGCATCATCATCATAATAATCATCATCATCATCATCATCAGCATCATCATCATCATCATCATCATCAGCAGCAGCAGCATCATCATCATCATCATCATCATCAGTATCAGTATCATCGTCATCATCATCATCAGCAGCAGCAGCATCGTCATCATCACCATCACCATCATCAGCATCATCATCATCATCAACATCAGCATCAGCAGCAGCAGCATCAGCAGCAGCATCAGCGTCAGCATCATCACCATTAGAATCAGCATCAGCATCATGATCATCACCACCACCATAACAAACGGCAACAACAAAAAACAACCAAACCCATCTGGAAGATACACGCCGGTCGGAAGAAGTAGGTACAAATATGAAGTAGGAAGGCGGATCAAGTAGATTGGGTTCAGGACCTCCCAGCGACAAACAAACCACAGAAACAAACGCATCGGTTCTTGAAGTAGGAAG